CTCGCTGTGCTCCTGTCTTTCATGGCCACCAGGCCAGGCTCTCAGATGAGGACCTGGGTGGGGAAAAGGCTGGCCCTCTTTATGGTGCTTTCCTGCTCCCTCATTCAAACCACTCTTTGTACTGTGTGGCTGGTGAGATTTGCTCCCTTCCCAGATCTTGACATGCACTCTCTGCCTCAAGAAATGGTGCTGGAGTGCAATGAAGGCTCCCCTGTGATGTTCTATTGTGTCCTGGGTTTCATCGGCCTCTTGGCCATGATTGGCTTTATGGTGGCTTTCCTCAGCAGGAACCTCCCAGATAGTTTCAATGAAGCCAAATTTATCACCTTCAGCATGCTGCTCTTTTGCAGTGTCTGGATCTCTTTTTTTCCAGCCTACCAGAGCACCAAAGGGAAATACACGGTGGCTGTGGAGATCTTCTCCATCTTAGCCTCAGGTGCTGGATTATTGGTCCTCATTTTCTTTCCCAAACTCTACATCATCTTGATAAGACCTGAGCTGAATAGCAGGCAACAGCTCATGAGAAAAGTCTTTATAAAGTGAGTTACAGGAATCAGTCTCATTATACACAATGGGATTTAGATTAGTAATAAACCCAATGTTGGGATTTTAACCAATAACAAATGGCTTAAGCTTTTATTAAAAGAGAATGGTTGAGTATAAATGTAATAATAAAATAAAAATAAAAAAGACTGTTCCTCTATCTTCAGTGTGTTCTTAAACAATTGTAATGCCTCAGAGGCTCAGGTAGCCCTTTATGACAACATTTGTGTTAATACATCTTCAGGATAATCTATTTCTTCTCCATGGTTCATTCTTTTACTAAGTTGAAGCAGTAAAGAACAAGAGGAAGGAGTTTCAACTTTGTTAAATACTTTCTCCCCACAACCACCACCCAAAAGGAGGCCTAACCCTGCTTAGCTTTTTGACATAGCCAAGGTTGGTAAAGGTTGACAGCTGAGACATTCTGAAACCCATGTTCAGAATGTTCTTCCTGGGAAATATAGAGCTCAGAGGCTTCTAGCTGCTTTTGCCCTGTAGACCTGGGTTTTTTATTAATTAATTTGAATATTGTCCCTCCCTCTGTGTGGGTTTCTGCACCTGGGTTTCTAAGCCTATATCAACCAACCTTTTACTGAACTAACATTTGAAGGAGAGAAGGGACATATAAGGAAGACTGACTTCAAATCTTTCTGATGGAGTGGAAGGTCACCCAGAAAAGTTTAAAGGAAGGAAGAAATTTAAGAGGTTGGAAAAAGTATAAAAAGTATGAAGTTGTGGGCTGTAGGGAACAAATCTAGGGGCAAGAAGTAGAGATAGTAGGTGCATTATAAAGACACCAGACTAGAACTGTCTGGGCCCAATTTCTAAGAGAAAAAAAAAGTGATTAGCTTAGGGGACAGACAGGAGATAGAAAGGACCCAGTAATTCAAAGGGAGGCTGAAATTTTGTGGAGTAAAAGGGGAGAAAAGAAGCAACTGCAGAAGACCAGAGAGTGAATTCAGAAGATTTTCCTCGCTATCCTGCTATACCCTTCTGGCTGGCCTGTCTTTAATTTAGGTTTAAGGGAGGTGGATCAGCCATCTCTTTGTATCCATCAAGGAAATCAGGGACAGTTTTTTAAACAGAGGTCTAGCTGTTACATAAAAAAAAACAGAGGGATCTAAAGAGCTATACTGACAGTTGGACCAAGTCCAATGTTCTTGCATACATACAGACTACAGCTTTAAAAAGGGGACACTTCAGTAACTGATCTATTTCTGAAGAGGAAGAATTATCATTGATTTGCAGGTCAATAAAGGTTAGGCCCTTAGCTTAGCCCACTTTTCCTCGTTCCTATCTTCCATCTCCTGTGGAAGAATGGAAAAAACTTCAAAAAAGGAAGTCCAGTGGGGAGGGGGACAAAAAATGTGATGTCAGTTGAAGACCTATGCTTTCTTTTAGGTGTGTTGTGTACAAGTATACAAATGGTTCAGGTGCCATTTTTACTTTTTTGATTTCAGAGGCTCTGCAGAGAGAAAGAGAGTGAGAGATTTATTCCTAATTAGAAGATCTCTAGTCTCTTGATAATGTATTAATGAGGAAAGAGGAAAAAAATGCTGAAATATAAAATCAAGTTATTTACTTCTACAGTATTGCAGAGAACCCATAATTTTGCAAAGGTGATTATCTCTTCTATATTTATCAACCTGACAAGTGCATTTTCTACCTCACCTCCCAAAGGACAACCAATACACCTTGGCAGAAGGCAGCCAAGATCAAACTATGCTACTAAAAGATGCCTTGCCATTCTAGAAATGGACCCAACACAAGCTGCTTGGTGACCTTCTGTTGAAGATTCCTAGTGCAAATTTTGAGAGGTTACTAAAGTCAGCCAGAACTCCTTAAGGGCACTTAAGACAGGAACTGATGTCCAGAAGAAAATGTTTCTACCTAATGCCACCCTTTGTGCTCCTGATATTATTGCTCCTTCCTCAGACTGTGTCTGATGTCCCAGTTCCTCTATGCAATATCCATTACCCTCTGCCAATAAGTCACCGGTATTATCAGCCAGGGGACCTCACCATTGCTGGCATTATTTCTCAAGTCTACACATTTTCCGACCCCTTGACTTTCAATCAGCATCCATCTCATGACCTCCTGGATGATATTGGGTAAGCCAAGAGTTTGGTTAATCCTAGCATTTTCCATAAGGGGTTGTCTTGCCGCAAATTGTATTGTTACCTCAGGGAAGCAATTTCACCAAGAGAGAATGAATGGGAAAGACTCTCTTGCTGGCATATGATATTGGGTAAGCCAAGAGTTTGGTTAATCCTAGCATTTTCCATAAGGGGTTGTCTTGCCGCAAATTGTATTGTTACCTCAGGGAAGCAATTTCACCAAGAGAGAATGAATGGGAAAGACTCTCTTGCTGGCATAAGTGGTAGGGACTATTTTACACTAGTGGTAGTAGTGGTCCACTTAGCTGGTAATCCATGAGTATAGATGAAATTCCTTATTGGAGTCTTCATTCTCCTACCCACTCCCACATAATATTTCCCAATATGAAGTCCCAGATATTATGTCCCACATAAAAATATTCTGTCCACTAGATTCAACACCTTGCCTACTTGAGAGCTTTCTAAAAAGCAATCAGATGGTACTGATTATTTGTCCACCAAATATCAGCTGTGTATATCATGTGGAAGTCTACCATTAATTCTGGTAACCCTTCCTGAGCTAGTTTCATAAACAACTCTGAAGATACTGTACATAAACACTTGAGTAGCTTCTCCCTTCTAAGATGGATGGATGAATGCAAAGGAATCAAAAACAACAGAAAGTTGATCTTTCAACATTGCAAATGGGAATGAATCCACTCATGGCTTCCAGATAAATATCATTGTCAAAGATAACTCTGATTATTTTAAGACATCTCTGATTGTATGGCATAAATATTTGCTTTGGGTGAAAATTTAGCAAGACTCATATTCTTCAACCACTGCACTCATTCAGCATGTAAATCAAACTGCAGATTTGTGACCCAGATTTATCAACATATCCTGGCCTTTGCATTTGCCGTAATGGAGATTAATGAAAATCCTCAAATATTACCCAATATCTCTCTGGGCTTCCATATC